CGCCGTGCCGCCGTCGCCACGGCAACGCCAAGCGGGCGGCGCGGCCTGCGCCCTCCCCTGGCCGGGCCGGGCGGGCTGCGGGACGGCCAGGCTGGGGCTCGGAATGGCGTCCCCTGCTCAGGGAAAGGGGAGGAAAAGGCTCAGTGCCTGGAGGTGGATGGTCTTTGCAAAGGGATGCTCACAGAAACGTGTTTTTTTTTTCCCATTTCCGAATAGACATTATGGAATCATGAAATTGTCGGAGTTGGAAGGGACCTCTAGAGATCATCTAGTCCAACTCCCCTGCCAAAGCAGGGTTGCCCAGAGCACATCACTCAGGACGGCATCCAGGTGGGTCTTGATGATCTCCAGAGAAGGGGACTCCACGACCTCCCTGGGCAGCCTGTTCCAGGGCTCTGTCACCCTCAACGGAAAGTTTTCTTCTATGTCTGTGACTGTTCTATTACCTGAGGTACCTCAAAAACTATGGGGGTGGTTAGGGACCCCAAAAGTTTTTGTAGGTTCAAATGTGGGACTCATACTGGATGAAAGCTGCTATCACCCCATGGTGCAAAATGCTGATCCAGTGTAAAATCATTCTGCAATTCAAATCTATTAAGTAGTTTTGACAGGTTAAATTTTTACTGGACGTCTTACATAAAACCAGCATAAATTTGGCACAAGTTTTAATGTCCTCTGCAAATTTGGACAAAAAAAATATCATCCTGGGTTTGTCCAGCATCTGGCTGCAATCTAATCCATCCCACTACCAGAGCAGCGTGCAAATGCAGGGCTAAATGATTGTGAAACTTTGTCCTAACTTTCTTTAGCATGTGCTCGAGTGCATTTCCCCATCACCAGTCCTGCAGTGCCACAGCTGGTTCAAGAGCTATACTTCAGCCACTTCTACAGCCTTCCTGGTGAGGAGAGAATGCTTATGCAGCTGTATCTTGCTGCAGATCTATAGAGTTATTCGGCTTTTAAAAAATGCTGAATGTGATGAACTGTAGTGAGAGTAACAGCAAAAGAGGCAAGAAAAAAAGCTGAGATAGAACAGAATTGTAGACTAGCAACATTAAAAAAGGAAGATGAAATGTGTTTCTCCAAAAGAGATTCAGGCGTAATTTAATCCACAGGGATTCACTATCTACAAATTTAGCTAGGATAACTAAACCAGCCACACTTTTACAAATAACTTGGCATGAGAGGCATGGGCACGACTTGCCATGGTTCTCATTTGCTTGCTTCCACAGGGTATCAACAGTGGGTCCCAGCACCAAGCTGTGGTCCTCCTCCATCCCCCTCAAGTCAGTGGTATCACATCCTGTAGTATAAGTTTTCTTGAGGAGTGCTTTATCCTCACCTTACCTACTTCTAAAAATAATGAAGAAATCAAGACGGGACTTATTCCAATTTCTTTTTTTGCCAGCTGACACAGAAGTCTGGCTCACGACCAGTGACAGATGATTTTGTGTAGAAATCCTGAACATATGTGTGAAAATACAGCTTCATTTAACAAAGGGAGATACTGCCTCTCTGGAGGTAATTTTGTAACACTTTTACAGACTTCAAAGTGGAAAAGGTATTAATGCAATTATATTATCAGAAAAAAATAGGTTCATATGGGGAAAGTGGAGAGACAGTATCATTAACTAATATGATTAAGATGTGTGTGTGTGCAAATTGTGCGTCTGTAAATTGTATCACACCAGCTACTATTGTAAATCCAATAGTGGACAAATTTAAGAAGGATTAACTAGTCTGATTAAGTGTAGCCGTTCCTCTGCTTAACCAAAATGGGACTCCTTTTTTTTAATCCCCCTGAAACGTTGAATATAACACTCTCCTCATCCCGTGTGAATTTGCACAGCTCAGCTAAACCGATGGAGGTACCTTGTGGGGTCAGTAACTCTTCTGAAGGAAATAATCCAGAGGGTTTTGCAACCCTGGACTCCCCCACTGGGACAAAGCGGGGTGGTGAAAACGCAACATGCATTTGGGGGAACTAATCAGATTTGGCAAAGAAGTGAGATTTTAATACAGAATCTGTTTAAGCACAATTCCACCTCATATTTCAGGTTTGAGCAAGCCATTTCCCAGGGAAAAAAGAGATCACTTCTGGAAAGGTTTTCCTGAAGGTCTCCTGAGTGGCAATGAAGCAGTTCAGCCTGCCCATAGCGGATATTAAATGTCTTTAGGTGACAAAACAGTAACCAAACATTTTTATGACAGCGTTACTAGATACCTTCTTATCTTGTAAGGGCAGAATAACCATGAACTGGAAACAGAAGGCAAACAGCAATAATGAAAACGGTGTAACAAACACTGTATGTACGCTTCCCAAAGAATATATTCTGAAGTTTGGGAAATTACGGTTCAATTTTTAAACTTGTAAATGTAAGCATTATATCCAAAGAGCAAGCTATGTTTTAGTGGGGGAGAAAAAAGAGGAGTACTAAGATACTGTCCAAACAAGCAAATATTTGGTTAAAAATACTTTTATCACAGACTAACATATCTCTGTCTCTCTGTGTATGGAGACACAGGAGAAAGGACACAGAATAAAATACTTTGCACAGCTGCTTTCCAGCTCAGGACATCAGCAGGAAGGGGACAATGTTAAATGAAAGCAAAGACAAAATATTCCCTTAAATGATACTTGCAGCTATTGAAAAACAAGTATGGTTTAAAAAAAAAAAAAATAAAGGCAAATCAGAACAATTTATAAGAAATTTTTTCCTTGAAAAACTAAGTTTCTTCTTTGAAAGCTTCTGCTGACATATTGGATCATTTTCAGTTTGGGGAACTTAGATATAAAGTCTTTGAAAGTCTAAACTCAATTCATGCAGTTATTTTGGAAATTCTCTATGTGGAACTTGGGTTTCCACGTATGTATGGATACGCCCTGATTTGCTCTGGATCCTTCAGCCAGACTGATGGAGCACTCCTGGACCCTAACCCTTTTCCAGAATTGTTTTGTATTTACAAACACACATCCTAGACCAAAATAACCATGATATATGTATACAAGCCACATAGGACCCAGTACATTTCCTGATCTTTGACAGCCAAGACATTTTCTTGGGAGGTGGGAGATAAGAGCTGAAGCCTATTCCAGGCCATGAAGAGAGAAAGCCAAGCTGTTAAAAGCCAGGTCTCCGCTTTCTGAACAATCTTTCTCTACACACCACCGCTGAAAAAAAGCATGGGTTTATCAGTTTGCATATCCTTCTTTGCTGCATTATTTTCATATACACAAGCATTTTATAGATTGAGCCTTGCTCGGCTATTTTAAGGAAACTTTATGTGATACATCTTACTTTAGTCTGCTCAGCTCTTAATCTTCTACTTCATGAAAGACCTGGAAAAGTGGAATCCCAGGAAAGATAAAAGAAATTCCTACAAGCACTGAAGTTCTTCTTCCCAGGAAGTTTGAAAGACTGTGATTATTTAGCTTACTGAAAAGTGATAAATGCAGCGTACAAGCCACCAAAATAGTATAATGATGTTTGACTTTTGGACAAAATTATATAATTTATTTGAATATTCTTGCAACAGTTTCCAGTCATACAATCAACTTATTTTCCACATAAGTTTATTTTTAGCCTTATATACATTCAGAATTATTGTATATGTCTTATCTAATGCATTATCAAGTATTCAGACAGATGTGCATACTGCCTTTCACTGTGCCTGTGACATTACTTTTCCTCCTGTTTCATCATAAATGAAAATAATCACTATCAAAACCCGATTCACAAATACAGTTGCTCAAAAGGTAGAACAAAAAGAAAAAATAGAAGTCAGAAGACGCTGGTCTGTTGTGGTCCTCAGAATTGCTCAAAATGCCCTTTTTTTTGCTATAAATGTTCAAATGGCACATGAAATGAAAATGTCAAGAATCTGGGTATACAATTCAGTAGTTCCCGAGTTATGCTGTACAAGCATTTTGGGCAATCAGTTGTAACACGGATGTACAGAAGCAACTTTCTTGAATACTCAAGAAAAAAAAATCATGCTGTATTTTAGCATATGCTATTGTTATAACATATGCTTGATATTGTGTAACAGTAAATTCCACTTAAATGCAGTAGGCACATGCTGCCATTTCATGAAGCTATACTACACAAGTAATTTACATTAAGTATCTACAAAAGCACTTCCTATTTTCAACTGAACTGTAGCTAACCCTACAGCAGAACACAGAGCCTTGTCACAATATCTGTCTTCATTACATTTTTGTGCCATGGAAGAATGTAACGCTGGCATTACAGCACCATTTTATTTATTTTTTTTTTATATAATCAATCCAAATTTTACAAAAATATAACGAACTAACCAACAGAAAAGTATGCTGCATATTCAGTTCTGTCTATAGATACCACTTTGCAATTACAGCTACAGAAGTCAAGAAATTAAGTATTTGGAAGTTAGGGCTGTGCACTCCTCATGTAACTATGTACTCATGCTGTGTATTATCATATAAACTTCTCTTGTGAGGGGCAAAAGATGAAAAGTGCACACTTAATAAACTGGAGAACAGAATTAACTCAATTTCTTTCTTTCGTTTTTTTTCCAGCATGACATCATGTCTGTTACTAAGATTCAAAGAACTGCATGTCTTATGGTACTCATGACATCACTGCCCTGTTTCCTCACAAACATCAATGCAACAATCTCTGATGAGCCTGACTCAGTAATACCGAGCAAATACTGCTGCATCTCCCAAGGGATTTACCATTTTGCAGGAATCCATTTATCACAACTTCAGAATATTAATTTTCAGTGATCTGCATTGTGAGTTTTCAGCTTGAGAGCAACCTGGGCTCAGAGAGACAGATGGAAACCAGTGGAAAATGAAACCAAGCTTCTCAGCATGTGTAAGGATTGTGCAAAAGGCAAATCTGTTCTTCAGGGCTGGCCTCAACAGTGAAACAATCCTTTCTCTTCTTGTCCATTACACACTTTTAAATCTCCCCAGCAAATTAAGTCAGCACCTTACAAACAATCTGTCCACAGGCAAAGATTTCTTCCCCTCATCATGTTGCCTCTCTGAACAAGGCAGGAAGCTTGCATTGCACATATTCCACAACTTCCATCCCTCTGTCTTCAATCCAAAATTGTAGTTTTAAAGTGCATTTAATACAAGTTACCAGCATTTTCACAGATGAGAAACTGATGCTCCAGTGCTTCATCGTGTCACTTATGTATTTATCAAAGCACCAAAGCTGGAGTCCCCCTGAGCTCTGACCTTCAGCTCTCTCGACTGGATTTCTAATTTATGCCGTTTCATCAGGTGCCCAAGGATAAGCATCCTTTAGGAGTACTAAGTCAGAAATACAAAGCAGATGGGAACACTAAACCCAGGTCTCAAAAGCAGAACCCTACCTACAGTATCACATTGCCCCCTGAAATTCCAAGCATCTTAGTTTTTTAATACCTTAACTTGGAACTTTAAAATACTAACATACTTTCAGATGTAAGAAGAACAACACAAACACAAGCAATCAAAGTCATCAGCAGTTGGAGCGTATTTACCCACTGTACAGATCTTTATTGTACAAGCCCAACAAGCTGCAGCTGATTCTCTCCAGAAGACAAGCTTTGCCAGTGATTTCACTGACCAGAAGAGGAATCCAGCTTCATTTTCAAAGCCTGAAATAGGTACAAAATGCTGCCCCATCTTCCCCTCCTATTTCTTTGGCCTGCCAAAGCTTACTCTTGTCTTCGGTTAACCGTAAGCACAGGAGTCTTTCTAAATCCACTTTCTACCAGACAGACATTTAAATTCCCTTGCTATAGCACCACTTCCAGAACATACTCAATAACGCCACTTCTGTCCTCTCTTTTTCACTGTGTAAGATGTAGGTAAATTGGAAAAGGAAGTTTCTCTGCTGTCTACTCCTGTTGTCTGTAACAGCCACCCTGGCTACCAGGGGTAAGTGCACCTCCTCTTAGCAGCTCTAGACAAAAGCAGAACCCAGTCAGACTCTACGGCTAATTCTGCCACCGTTTTCTAACAAACCTTTGGTTATCACTGACATTGCACCAGTCTCCTGTCAAAGGCCTTATTTCAAACCATAGAAGTATTTTAAGTCTTAACAGAATCTATTTTTACTTTTTCCTTTATAAACAGATAATGCATTTCCATTTTCCTTTCACTTCACCCTGAAAAATCACTAAAATATCCCAAAATTTTCCCCCAAATTCTGAGTAATTTTAGACCAGGGCAGAAAAGAAGAATTTGGCATCTAACAGCTCCAATCAGCAGCAACCTGGTATGGTGTATGTTTCTGTCACATACACTTCTCAGTGCATGTTGTTGTATTTTTCCCATGAAAATCATGGCATCCTTCTTAAAGAAACAAATACATTTGACAAATAAAGAGAATTATCAGAATAGAAACAGGCAGCAGTGCTCGAACCACCAACAATCTGTTTACACAAACAAATCTGTTTTAAGTCTAAAATCCAGTTAATGTAACTGGTTAGGTTGGTTGGTTTGGTTTGGGTTTGGTTTTTTTGTGTGCTTTTTTTTTTGGTAGAGGTTCTTGGATAAACAGTATCTTCCATATTCTTAAAATGAGAGTGTCCTTCCTCCCCCTAATCCTCCTGCCAGATGCAACAACTCTCCTTCTACAGGCAAACTGCCTAGCAACATCCACTTGTAGTTTAAAATTAAAATTTAATTTTCAAATTCTAAATTAATATTTACAAGGTATCACCCAAGAACTCTTCTTTTAATGTACAGCAAACTATACTCAAAACATCAAAAGTTATTTGTCCATGGACACAAGAAACAAGTAAAACCAACTTATGTAGTAAAGTCTTGGTAGAAGTCAACTCAATTTTCAACAGTTTTAAAATACAATCCTGCAATGGGTTGCAAAGTATCTACCTGGAATTAATTTGTGCATTCTATAAATATTAAATTTCATGCGAAGCATGACACATGAAGCACAAATTATCCTGAAATAAGTAAATACACACTAATGTGGGACTGAGGAACTAGTTTCTGAAGCAGATTTTTCACTTGTTAGCCATAAACTCATACCCACTCATGAAGAAAAAAATATTATGGAAAACTGCATGTTCATCTTAACTGGGCATTAGGAAAACAAAATATATTGAAATGCAGACTGATGTATGTATACAAAGACAGTTTGTAAACTGTTACTGTTTGTAAACTTTTACACAACACTGAAGTCATTTGTGGAACAGAAACAACAAATCACTTGGGAAGAAGAAGTGCAAACAAAAAAGAATCTTTGCTGAAGCCAAGCATGGAACAGAGGAAGTAGTTAAAACTCAGACTGAATCTCTCTCTCAGAATATTAGGAACCATTTAACTACAGAGCAGCATCAAATTGAACTATCCCGTATTTTCCACTTATCATCCATTCAGGTTCAGAAGCCTGAATTTGTTCACCTTGTCCAGGTTTTAGGCCAACCTGAGTGTCAGATTTGAGTGTTCTCAAACTACAGAGAGGCGCAGGATGGAACTTGTTCAAGGCTTGATGAAATGGAAAAGTATATTCCCATTTCCTATCTCCTGTAAGTTTTCTGTAGTTTAGATCACCTTTGAAAAGAAGCAAGTTTGACTTCTGTAGATCAGCATACAAGTCAGGAGCAACTTCAGCCATACGAGAAAAGTCATGTGGCAAAGTCCAAAACATGTGATCACAGTAAACCCAAACTCCCTTTTTCAAATTGCCCTCCCAGTTTATCCCACATTTAGACATCCACTTATGATTAGCTGACTGCAGTTGTTTAATAGTCCAGTTAAAATCATGCTTTGTGGTATCTGACACGTACCATGGAATACTTTTTCCATGAAAATGGACTTCATCAGCTAGCTTTGATGATAACAGGAAATCGGCCAACACAAGATCACTTAAAAGTTCAAATCCAGCATTATCCAGGATTATGTCAACTCTAACTTTACTATTTTCTGTATCATTTTTTTTGGCATTTACGAGTACTGACCAAAGTTTTTCCATATCATTCACTAAGATGTAAGGTATCAGATTTTCCAGGGATTGTAAAGGACTAGATTTCTGGGAGCTGTCTTCACCGGCTGAAAAAGAAAGGTCACACTTATTCCCCCACAATGACACCTAGAAGGAGAAAAAAAACAAAAACATTTGCTAAGTCCCACTGTAGTTACATTCTAAACTTCACATATACTAAAGATGTTGTTTGTTTTTATTTTAGGGACACAAAGGCTTTAGCTCCACATTTTCCTCCAAGTTTGAATATAATTCAACTTCTTGTAGACAAGATTTTGTGGAAGAAACCAAACAATGCTCTGTATTTATGCAGGCGTCAGAAACACGCATCAGAAGTGAGAGAGATGGAAGATTTAGATAAAAATAAATACAATGATCACAAAGCTTAAAACAAAAATATTCTGCACACTGTAATTCCAGAAAATATGAGTGGAAACATAGGAAAAGGTTATTACATGCAGCCAAGTAAGAACTTGTATTTTAAGTACAAACTAATGAGGTCTTTATAAGGATTCCTCAAATACTTGATGTGTGCTGTTGCCAGCTAATGGACTTATTTGTAATCCTATGATATTTCATATTCTATTCAAAGGCATTATTTTCCAAGAATAATGCACTTATAAGCCTTTCAAACCACTTCTGGCCAAGACTGACTTCTCGCTTTTTTTCCAAAGAAGTCTACAAATTTTTAGAGTGTCAATAAAACGGACTGTTTTAAAATGTATAGTTAAATAACAAAAAGGCCATCTGGAACTTGACTTCAAATGTTTTAGAGATACTGGTTTTGAGGGAAAATAAAATGGGTTTTCAAATACACAATGAAGAAAATGTGTAATGAAAATGTCACGTTTAATACAAGTAACCGACAGCAATACAATATGGCTATCAGGATTTCATCATATTTTTACAAAGAAGAGCTATATTTTAATTTCCAGATGAAGCTCAAATTCCTTATAACCTCAATTTTTCATTTGTTACATAGGAGACAGATTTTAAATTCTTACGTTAAGCACTACTAGTTTACCTGCAATAGCTTAAAAAGTTCCTCCTTAAGTTGCTTTTCATCTAGATCCTTGATGTTTTTAAGAAGATCCTGAAAGTAAGTGCATAGGGCAATAACAGCTTCTTGGGATTCAAAGAAATTTTGAGCCTTTCCTTCCTTGAATACGTCAAAGTTGTCAATAGGTGGGCTAAAAATGGAAGGAGAAGAAACATATTAACACACTTGCCACACTTTCAGTGACAGCACGTGAAACACAGCTGACAGTGCAAGCTTGAAGCTCACCTTTTTTAGGCCATACTACAGATTTTCCCCTTCTAATTTGTCATACTAGATTTTTACACATTTCAACAACAGCCTGATACTGTATCTCACTGAAACAGTCAGTATAGAAGACATCTTTGTATTTCTAGCGATGCATTCTGAAAGTGAACAAGTGTTCAGTCACAATCCTGTGAATTGCACATACAGTGACAATTTTGAATGCCAGTCTTCAGACACAGAGAATTAAAACTGTAACACAGAAACGAACTAATGTAGTGAATTGCTGGCATGTTTGTGTGGGTTGAAGTGTACTTCCCTTACCAAAGCCTCTGTGATATGAAGTTATTCTTACGAAAGTTTTTAACTAGGACTTTAGAAATTTAACACAATAAAGATGACAAAACGATTCAGCTCTTGTAATACATAAGAAATGTAGACTCATCTATCACGAGACATATCTGCACATACAACTTTTGACAAACGACTGAACTTCCACCCAAGCATATGCCTAAGAGCAGCTGAATAATGGAGATAAGAAACTCACAGCTTACTAACGACAAATATCTGCTCAGTTTTTGAAGTGCAACCCAGCAGACCCATCTCATATTTGAAGCTTCTGCTACAAGAGTTGAAATGACACAATACACCAGTAGAAACAGAGACCCATTACTGCGTTTGCATCACTGTCATACTATGGGCAAATCCAGTGCACATGGAGCTTTCCATTTTTTTTGGCAGCAGCAGAAACTTAAACTGCTCATTCCTACCCCATTACATCGTACTGGCACCTCGCCACAGGAGCAGCACAACAAGATTTTCCTGCCAAGTTATTTTTAACCAGGATCAGCTCCCAAAGTTCAATGCAACATATGGTCTGCAAACACTGCTGTAACCAAGAAGACAGTGTAGAATGAACAATGGGGGCTGCTTAAACTGGGTCTGCTGCTGTAAGGAACAGGTCTCAAACAGTAACTTCAGATTTGGAGCAAAACAAGTTAGAATAGCCAACAGCAGCTCTTGCATTCTGTGTTTTAGGCTAACACGTCTTAAGAGATAATTCTAGACTAACAAACCTTTTAGAAATGCTAAGTAACTTTTATATTTCAATGCCCATCAGTCTGCAAGAAGGTCAAGCTATACAGTCAAGTTTAAGAGTTTTCGTGTAGAGCAAGTCACAGAAACTAAAGCATAAAACAACCTAATAAGCTTCACATTCTGCTGCATGGAAAAAGTATTAATTTTAAATCTGAGGTGCGAGAAGAGAGGAAAAGGAATACGGTAAAAGCTTAAGATTTTCCTTTATCTTAGCTGTCTCCAGCCTCCAGCTGTCTTCCTTTCTCCTAAAACAAAAATGGGATAGAATAATATTTTGCAGAGTAACATACCAAGCTCGGAAATACTTACTTTTGCGCTAAGGCTGCATGAATCCTTCGGTACATGTAACACTCCACAAATAACCAAGGGGACTGAAACCAACTCGGCTCTCCATTCCCATTTGATAAATTTCGTTGGTAGTCTAGGTATTGGTTCCACAGTGCAGCATCGGGCAGCTCGTCTTCTAAAGGGGTCACTGGTTTGTCTGTTTGCAGTTCGTTCCGCAGTTTGGAGAGAAAAGAGATAGCTCTCTTCTCTGCTTCAACACCCTTCTGAAATAGGCAGAAAACAAAAGTTCCTATTCTGAATATTTACTCCTATAGAGACATAGATAAATTTTTCATGAAAGAAATAAGCTGTAAGTTTTAACGGCCAAATACAAGTCCCTGGCAAATCAGAGCCTGATTCACACATTTTGGTGAATGAAGCTCACTTTCCACCTAACATCCTAAAATTAATCGACTTCTTTTTAGATTGGACTTTTTGCTTATTCAAGAGGAATAAAGAATTGAAACACTGCCACGTCCAGAAGGTGCTACAGTCTCTTAAACACTGCACCAACACAAAGACCTGAGAAAGCAAAGCAGTTGCAGAACAGTGTCGTTCATTTAGTGGCAGGACAAGCAGATAGATCAGGAAAAGGTTAAACAGAAAGATCTACAAAATTAATTAAAAATAGCTACAAGAAAGAAATTATAAAGAAATCAACAAGATTGAGACAGACAAGTAATGACAATAGTAAGAAACTAATAAAAACAAGGCAGAGAAGGGCACTCAAGGATTAAAGGGAAAAAAAATCTCAGGCAGAAAGAGACCTTACTCTTACCTCACTGTGTTCTTCAAAAAATTCATTTTTATGGCGATGCAGAGTATCAATAACTCTTGTGAGGATCTGGGGCAGTCTGTCTTTAATTGTAAAATACGCAAAGGATCTAAAAAGGAGAGGACACAATTTTTATTACTGAGAGGAAATGATAAAATATCTTCTATTTTTTAAAATAGATGCAAGGTCTTAAAAGTAAGTTTATGTGCCTTTAAAGTCGTGGACACCAATAAAAACCAAACAAATCTCAAATTGCCCAGGCTCTTAGGTCTACTTTTGAAGATAAATGACAGTCATTTCAGGGAAGAAAATGCTAAGTGGACTGGCCCTACCAAAAGAGCAAAAATTGCAGTTAATTCTAGGCTAAAACACATTTTCCAGTTGCTGTTACCCAGATGTAAAGTCAGGGAAATTTAAAAGCAGAGATTCATTTGAATCTATGGTGTTTGCTCTCCACTATATACTCGATTTGCAGATTTATGTTTTCCCAGCACGCTGTTTATGTAGAAGGAGAGCGCTCAAAACATGACCAGCCCTACGGTGAGCTGAGGAATGATTTTTATTCAAGGGTTTCATAGAATCATAGAATCACATGGGGTTGGAAGGGACCTCTGTAGATCATCTAGTCCAACCCCCTGCCAAAGCAGGTCCACCCAGAGCAGGTTGCACAGGAACCTGTCCAGGTGGGTTTTGAATGTCTCCAGAGAAGGAGACTCCACCACCTCCCTGGGCAGCCTCTTCCAGGGCTCTGCCATCCTCACAGGAAAGAAGTTCCTCCTCATGTTTGGGCGGAACTTTATATTCAAGTTTGTGCCCATTTCCTCTTGTCCTGTCCCTGGGCACCACTGAAAAAAGACCAACCCCGTGCCCGTCAGTCGGAGCCCCAATCTCAGGGACTCCTGAGACTGAACCCAAAGAAACGTGAGGAGAACAGACACAGCCTGCACCCTCCCGAGGCCTGGGCCGGTCAGTAACGGGGCCGGGACAACCGCAGCGGCAAGCGGGGGGGGAACGAGGCAGCAGCCGCCGGCTCGGCGAGGCGCCCGCTCTCGGGGCTGCGGCGGCACAGGGCCCACAGCGCCACCTCCCGGCCACGCCGCCAGGGCCCAGCAGTCCCGGCCACAGCGCAAGGCCAGCACTGCCCCCACCCGCCCGAGAGCCGGCCTCCGGCGCTCACCGCTAGGCCGAAATCCCCGACCGAGGGGCCCGGTGTCTGAAAGGAACAGCCGGTGCCTCATCTCCCTTCTGCGCCCCCTCACATCCCCCCGCCCCGCTGCCGGTAACGAGCGCGCCAGGCCGTGACGGACCCCTTAAACCTGCCCGAGAGGGAGACGGGTAAGACCGCTCCCGCCGCCATCTTGCTCCGCCCCCACCCG